AGACAGGACAGCCTTTCCTAGACTTTTGACAGCCTGTCCCATTTTCACAAACTACAAATAAAAATAACCTAGAGAACACGGCCACTTCATAAGGGCCACGGACGTCTTGAGTGAGAAGCGATCTGGAAAACACAGCTCAGCTACCTGCCTTTTTCAAATGGCTTGTTTGATAGTCAGGTTAATTCACCTAAGAGCATGCTAAACCCTTATCTACAGAGAATCACAATACCACCATGAGAAGGTATTTACCAATTCATTTTATACTGCCTTTCCAAAAGCTTTCCATACTAAGCAACCAGCCTAAAAAACAGGTGTTGAATTAAGAATAATGATCTCAATAAAAGATTTGTACAGTTCTGCTAGTGACCCCAGGTTTACAATCATTTTAATTAACAGGGGTGGAAAAAGACCCAGGATCAGTGCCTAGTAAAATACAATTTTTATACTGTTTTTCACGGCAAATATTTATTGTAGCTGTGCAATCAGAGCATTAATAGAAGCAACTGAAAAAGTATTACAGTATTACATATTGTGATGTGTAATGAATCCAGATTATTAGAGGGGTATGTCAGAACAGCAGCTGTTCCATTCAGAAGTCCACCTCCCGCAGTTTGAAACATGGGGCACATCCTACCACTGAGCCTCCCCAAAACTGTAATCCATGTGCCACAGTGACTCACTCCCCCCAGTCTCACAGCTCTAATTACTGGAGCAGGGCTGGAAATGGGGGTTGTGTTCAGCCCCTGTATGTGCTCAGCCAGACCAGGCCTCTTGTTTTCTCTATAAATTCCACAGTCTCTGCAGGGAAGCGCCGGGAGGGAGGTGGGTAATTAGAAAATCAGACGGGTGGCAGGCAGGGGAACTTGGCCTGTCCCAGCCATCTCAGATTACTGATCGCACTCTGGCCTGACACAATGCTGCACAGATCTGAACCCCATTCCCAGCCTGGTCACCCTTCTGGGGGTGCATGAGGATTTAAGAGGCTTTCAGTCACTCCTACCTCGACACAATGCCTGCTTTAGCGGTGTGTACCTGCCATGCCCAACACTCTCTCTTCTGTCACATGACAGATTCTTGGGAAATGAGATGGATTTTAGTCTAGCTGAGATGTGATACACTTATAAAGTGCTTTTCAGGTCAAGGGGACTCCTCCCCATCACCACCAACGTGCAGCCCCACCTGGATGATGCATCAGCAGCCAAAGTGCGCCAGTACGCTCATCACACACCAGCTATCAGTGAGGAAGAGAACAGAGTGATAAAGCCAATTTATAGATGGGGATTGTTAAAAGGAAACGAAAGGTCTTCTAATATGGGATTTTTAATGACCATGGAGAGACAGGACCTATTTTACATCTCATCTGAAGGACAGTGCCATTTTTACATTATAGTGTCCTCGTCACTATACTGTAGCATTAGGACCCACACAGACCGCAGGGTGAGCGCCCCCTACTGGCCCCACTAACACCTCTTCCAGCAGCAACCTTAGCTTTCCCAGGAGGTCTCCCAACCAGGTACTGGCCAGGCTCACACCTGCTGAGCTTCAGTGGGTTGAAAATTGTGAGTTGCAGGGTGATAAGCAACCTTGGGTCATCCAGTCTACAGGTAAGAGGACTCTGACTTTTCCAATACGTTTACTCAATTGAACCTCAATTGCTTTATTCACCTTGGTGCTGTTAAGGTTTTGGTCAGTCCCGGTGAAGAAAAGACTAAAGAAACAAACACTCGAATAGCCAAGGCTGCTTAACTCGGGTCTACCTAGATGTTACATCAAGGAGACATCTTGTACTCAGGCCTGGTGCCCTGCTGTCTCAATATCGGCCTCAGCCAATTTCATTTCCAACACTCCTCCCCGCCCTTTTCCCAAAACCTCAAGCGAGTCCAGAAATGTGTCTCTTTTACCCTTTCCTCATGTGTGTGGACCAGTGATGGAAAACAGCCTCCCCTGTTCTCTTAATAGGAAGGTAAGCGATACGAACAGCGCATCCCCTCAGCGGAGACAAGCCAGGCAAAGGTTAAGCAAATCAAGAAAGTCTTCAATGGCCCATTCATTCCCCCTAATTCAATTGCAGTTACCCAGCTCCTTCCAAATTCGCTGTTCTTCCATATTGCGGGTGCATGTCTTTCATAATGGTGTGTATTAAGAAAATACAATAAAAAACAGCTTGCCAGCCTAATTTCGTAAGAGACTTGAGGACTTGTTTGCAGAGAGAAATGCAGTGTGGAGGGGAGGTGGGTCAGAGAGAGGTCAGCACTTATTGGAAGAAAATGTATTTGAAAGCAGAGGATGGGGTAGCTCATGGAACTGCTTTGGAATTCCAGAGGAAAACATTTTGTGCCACTAAAAACAACATGCTGGTCTAGACTATCCTTTGGCACTCTTTACTTGATCAACAGCATTAATAAATATACAAATCAGGTCCACTTATATCAACTATGCAAATCATTGTCAAGCACCATTTATCACAACTGTGAGTTGAGTAACAAAAGGTGTGTAAATACCTATACTTGCAACAGACAGTTTTGCAACTGGAAATTGACAGAGTTCCCTCCTCATGGCAGCAAAGTCCAAACTTATTCCTGCTCTGCAGTCAGGAGTGATGAAGTAGTGTGACCATAAGATTAATAAGAACATCTACAACGAACAATTTTTAGGCAATTCCTTGTGTGCATTTGATCATATTTTAACAAAAGCATACTTTTCAGTGCAGTGATTTCAAATGACCCCAAGTAAAGGTACACAAACTTTACATTTCAGTGGTGAAGTTATCTTGGTGAAGACGGTATTTGGTTGCACTTTGCGTTGAGGGAATAACTCAGTGGTGTGCAGACTTCATGCAGTTTACCAGACTCCTTGTGTAATTATTGAGATGCCTTGCCAAGCCACTGCTGCAGCCACTTTGAGTTCTTGCCTATTCTGGGACCATTCCGACTTCAATTTGTTCTACAGCATGTAAACAGCTTGCTCAATTGGATTTAATTCTGGAGATTGGCTTGGCCGGTCTCAAGATTTTCCACTTTGTTTCTCCTGGTGAACTGCCTGGTTGCACTGGCTGTTTGGTGGAGCATGACAAGCATGGAAGCATTTCTTTGCACATAAGCAGACAAATGGTTTCTGGAAACTACAGGATGCTTCTGCTGCCGCCGTCATTAGTTACATCACCAACACATCAAGTGAGGCAGCCTCCAAGGCCTGTATACCAGGGCCATGACATGACCCTCACCGGTCATCCCAGAGGTGATAGTGCTCTTTGGAGCATCCACAGTTGTTTTATTTACCACAATTTAACCCTAACATTACAGTGGCAAAGGTTTATCTTGAGATAAGCTGTCCACTATATTTTCTACTAAAACTCTCCTGGCTCATCTTTTTAGTTCTGAGCAACACCTAAATCTGGCTCTTCTGTGCTTGGGGCTAATGAGAGGTTCACCTCTTGCAGTGTAGCTAACTGTGGATTTTGATACCATCACCCTTACACTTGTTGGTCATGTCATTGACAGTTGGTTTGTGATTTTCCTTGACAGCTCTGATTAATTTGCAAGGGTTTTTCTGGCTGGTAAATAAACCTTTGGCTTCTTTCTTCAGAATATTCCATATTAGTTGAGTTCCAAACCTGTTGAGCCAATTACTGCACTGTGGTCCTTTCCGTTTTCTTTCATGGAAATGTATTTGGTTTTCCTTCTGATTTTTGACTACGGACTGCAAAAACTGAAGTCAAAACTAGATAGGTTGATGGGATATTCAGAGCTCACTTAAGAGCAATTGTCCATATAATTTTCTCCTTTAAAACAAAATCAGTTTAATACCAGTCATTTGTTTGATTGACCCAGGAGTGGACAGATGATTAAAAATAAAACACTTAGGAGTTAAAATGATCATGTTTTAAGCATTCATAGTAAATTAATAATCCTTAGCCAACTGATCCTTCTCTATCCTTCATGACACTGAACCAATTATTTCCTCTCTGCTTGTAGAATCTTCAAGCTGATCCGGCACTTGGACAAACACCTTAACTAGTTAAACTCAGGCTGCACCTATACAGAGATCAGAGACCATCAGAGAGTGCCTGATCTTCTGGAAGATAGAGCTGTGAGCTGAAATTTTGAGTGAGAGGGTTAAGAGACGGGAAAATCAAAATACTGCAGCTGGAATGATGTAAGACAGGACTCCTGATTAATTGAGATGAGTTTGAAGCTTTAATCCATCCCAATCCATCCAGCTGGGGCTGCATATTGGTGGTGGTGGCAGGGAGTCCCTGTTACCTGTAAAGCACTTTGAGTGGAGGGTCCAGAAAAGCACTATTTAAGTGTAAGCAATTATTATTATTAAATGACTCAAAAATGATTTTCAGAAAAAAAGAGAGGTTCTGGTTTCAGTGATAATATCAGGGTCCTTAGTTACTTTCATTTTTAATTTTCATATTCACTAATAGGCACTACAGAGCTTCCCTTCATGATACATGAGTTCTGATTTATTGGATTTTTAGATTTTATACATTGCAGAAAATTAGGTTTGCTGGGGAATCTGGATTTACAGTTTTAAAATTGCTGATTGTTAGTTTGCAATTTTTTAATTGAATTTTCCATTTTTGCATTACAGAAAGAAAACATTAAATGAATTATAAAACAAACTGCAACATGCAGAAAGTGGACAAGAAAAGCCACTAATGCTATAAAGGCTTGCCTGCGGTTAGTCTCCTATTCTTTTATGAAAATTAAGTTTTCCGGAATTTATAAATTCAATAAAATCAACTAGGCCTGGTTATCACTCCCCCTAACAGACACACTTTAACAGTAAAAGCCTTTGAGAATGATTGGGGAGTTTGTCATATTCAATTCAAGTTTTACTGGGTATAGCACCCTTTACCACAGATTGTCATGGAGCACTTTCACCAGTCAAGTCAAAGGACTTCCGTCAGTCCTTTTTGCTGAAAAGGCAAATGAGGCAAAGAAACAGAACAGCAGGAGCCCACAAGAGCAGATGGAGAATGATATACTCACTAAGTGTCCTGGGGTAGGAGATCGGGAGTCTTTAAGGCCCGCTGTGCCCGGAACATCAAGGAGGGGCCATTTCATTTGCAGGTACTGTGGGATGAGGAATGGAATGAACAACTCAAAAAAACAGTGAAAGAAAGCAGCAAAAAGCAAACATAAAACGTGAAAATGACAACTCCAGCATTGTACAGAATGTACTGGCTCGCTGTGAAGCCAGCAGGGGGTTCTCAAAATTCTGCTTCTTACTTTTAAGGCCTTAAGTGATCTTAATCGCCAATTATCTGCAGGATTTACTGCACAAGTACATCCTTGTTCGCAGTTTAAGATCTACTAATGCCAGGCTTCTTACACCAACGAAAACAAGGCCTCGTTCTGTGGGGGACAACTTTCTGCAGTGCTGCCTCATGACGCTGCACACAACCATCAGAGAAGTTCGAGATTTTCAAATCTCATTTATAACAACCCCAATAATTTTATCTTTTGGATCTGTGCTAACAGTGTTTATAATTTAACTGCAATACACTGCAATTTCCTTTGTCTTGAACGATGCTTCAACTTAAACAAAAGCGCATTGGAATTTAGCCATTTTAGGCTAAAGAATCCAAATTTAATTTCTGCGTTTGCCGAATCTTCTTCAGCACTGAAGAAAAGAGCAAGATCTAAGCAGAGGCCGATTTCGTGCAGAAACACATAGAGCAAAATTAATATTATGACTGCGGAGTCTTCATCAGGTCCGCTCCCCTGCCAACGCAGCTCCCCTCTCAGGTGTTACTTAGCAACTCCTTTAAGGGACAAGTACTCTACTTTGTTTTTCTTTTCAATACAGCATTCTTTTTTGCACTGTAAAGCTCCTTACAAGGTAAAAATCAGAAGTAAATTCTATCTATTAAGAGTCCGATGGCGTGTGTGCAGGTCAGAAGCAAACCGCGACTCCACTAAAGAAATTGCACTGAAAGGAGCTCGCGAAGGTCAGTTTTGATTTCTCACTCCGTTAAAATAACACAACAACTGCCAGGAAATAGGACCAAACAGCACCAACTGAATACAAACTGAATGACAGCCTAATCCACTCAACAGCAGGGAAAACAAAGCATTCTGGGGCAGTACAGCCTGCCCGGCATGCTACGTCAGACTGGGGGGTGTCTACTGAACGCAAGCAAACGGCTAGATCTTGAGCCTTTTCTTGACGATGGCTGTTCTAAGCTTGGGACAGGGCAGAGATTACAAGTCACCAAATCAGGTTACATATGCAAAGAAATGAGCCAATGTAAAGTGGTTGATGAATCAGAAATATTCTACAGGAGCGAACTCAACTTGGCAAAAGACCAGCATTCTACAGGCTGATCTGAACCAGCACGTTAAGAAACAGAGTTTTTCTTCCTATCTTGCTCCTGTCTCCATGCCAGCCAAGCACATCGCTCCAACCGGCCTTGGCTACTTTGCACAGAGTTTGCAGATTCTCACACAGAAGACAGCATCCACATGCAGTGAGCATTTAACCTAAACATGGCGCCTAGCCCAAATATTGATTGAAAACGAACACGGAAGGATTTGCCTTTTAAGAAGCGGATATGATTTTTAACCAAACCACTACCGATTTCAAAGTTGTTGTTTCCCCACATTTTAAAGGTGGCGGTGGGAGGGGGATATTTGATGCTAACCAACAGTGAGGGTTGTAGAGGAAAGGAAAATAAGGGGGGCAGACCAAAAGCCAAGAGGGGGGGAGGGGGAGAGTTCTCAAACCAATATCTCAGCATGCAATACTTCTACAATAACATTTTATGTCGGGAGGAAAAAAAAACAGATACGCAATAGAGAGGCAGTTTTGCTATGAACAACTGCTAAAGCTTTGACTTTAAAAACGTCTCCCCAAACAGCCCCAGCCACCTGTACAGGAATGTTATGGAATCTCTGAGAGGGCCAGGGAATAGCTGTCAGTGAGGAATGAGCCTTTGGGAGAGTGGGAATGGTGTGTGAATTCTCCGGAATAGTGGGGACTGTGAAATCAGGGATTGTCAGGGAATGTGGCAATGGGGGAGCACAGCTGTGTGATCCCATCGCAAAGACGGGGATGAGTGTGTGTGTGTGTTGAGGGGGGAGGGGATAACAGCTGGAAGGAAGTCTCAACAAGCTCTGGGAGGAAGAGAAGGAGAAGTGGGTGGGGGAGGGCTGCTTAAACCAATGGTACCCTGGTGAATTAGTGTGGCCTTTTGACCTAAAACAAACAAATCTGCTTTCTTCAAAACTTTTTTTTTAGCATAGAAGCTACTTCCATGGCCATTTCAATGGTGTTTTTTTTCCCCCCAAATTTGTCATTCTCTGGAGTTTTTAACCATTAGGTCATTATTCTTAGCTTCCGCCTGCTCAAAATCACAGAGCAGGGTTCTTGTTGCGCATTGCTGTTTTTTTTTATCTGTGACACCCATTGCTGGGAGTTGGCCTTCTGCTTGGCATTATCAGCTTAACCTGCCATGTGATAGGTAATCACTGGAAAAACTTGTACAGCACTAAAATGCGAAAAAAATATATAAAAAAGTTATAAACGTATATACAATGCACAATGAAAGAATTCCTTGAATTTTGATTCCAAGAGTTTTCTATCTTAAAGCTTGCAAGGCCATCACATGCTCTTCTAGTCACCTAGAGTATTTTAAATATGCATCAGATATGACCAGAACAAATGATTACATACCTTGAAATTCTATCCTGTATATCAAGAACAGGCAACCTTGATTCTTCAATTGCATACCATTGGCTTTGTTCTGATCAATCCTTAAGAGTCAAGAGATTAAAAGAAACCCCAGTGAATGGAAGAGCCAAGGTTGCCCAGATACCTAATGGTCAAATTTGCTCAGATGGGATCTTTGCCGAGTTCTGATTATTTTATGGGTTACAAATCAAGAGCTGAAAAGAAAAAACTCCACTGTGGAGCAGGAAGACCACATGCTCTGGCTCAGGTGTGCTCATGTTAAGTGCTGGGGTCACCCAGTAATGGCTTCCACCTGCAGACAGCCGCATTGCTGTCTCTCATTAGGCGCACGGGCTACAGAGAGGGAAATTGTCTGTGACATTAGAGGGCCAGTGTACTCGGCTCTTAAATTCCGCTGCCTCGCCCCCTGCTGTTCTGTGGCTGATGTCATTTCCTGCTCCACAGCACTTTCGCTGGTGCTGTGGGGCCAAATCCAGGAGGCCCACAATCCCCCCCCCCACACTGGCGTGACATTAAAACTCTGGCAACCTGAATGTAGCTCACCAGCTGATCCATTAGACTTGCTCACTGACTCTAAGCGACACCACATCTCCTAAAGGCACCTATTTACGTGTTTTGGGAATGCCCTGTGATCAAGTGCATTTGGCTGTTTAGAGTTCAGCACCATTTTCCCTGATCAAACTGGAGTGAGCATGCTAATGAGCCTTAAGACTGCTCCTACTTGCTGACTCTGTGCTGTCAATTTCCAAAGACGACGGCTTTTGCTGGCAGGTTTCACTGCAAACAACAAAAAAGTCTATTTTGCGGGGCAGGGTGGAGGCTGAGATACCTCTGAGTCATACTTGGTTGCATTCATTTCCCAAAATTTGCATGTGCAGAAAAGTATAGCTCAACTGCATTGTGCTAGTGTAAAAACTTGCCTGTACAGGGGGATTTTTATTTAAAAAATGTAAATTGAAAATCATTTTAAAATGATTAGAAAGCCCCCTGTTCTTCCTTTTTTTTACCTTTTGCCCCCTTAAATACTGTTCATACTTCTCAGTCTTTTTTGCTATTAATTATACTGCATAGCCTGTTATTTCTCCTGCACACTTTCATGCACAGTCACATTCTTACAACTACTTGCATTTATACAGACCTTATTATCCCCAAGGATCTCGGAGCACTTAACCTATGGTCACCATCAACATCCATCCATTTTCTTACTACCTCATCCCATTCAGGATCGCGAGGGAGTCGGAACCTCTCCCAGCAAGGCAGGAAACAGCCCAGAACAGGAAGCCAGACAATCGCAGGGCACCCAACAACACGAGCTGGCTATGTAATTTGCACCCAGCACACGTTTGTAAATGTACCGTTAAAGTTCTAGAATGGCCATCCATTAAATTTAAATCATGAACGTCTATTAAAAGCCGTATGCTGTTTATAAAATAAAAATAACATTTCCAAGTCTGAAGAGTTGACGATCCTCATTTCTGCAGCACATGATCTGCTCTGCAAGAGTAAGATCTATATCTGTTCAATCTTTTACGTTCTAAAAGGCCGATCGAATGATTTGTCGAATGGTAACGTCGTAGAACAGCAAGTCCACAAGGAGCTGCAGGCTCATCTGGCTTTCTGTCCACCTGACTTCTTTTCTGACTCGGAGGAACAGGCTCACCTGCAAACGCCACCATTAGACATGAGGAAAAGGTGCTTGTCTGCTAAAGTAGAGGACTGAACATACGGTCCACCATTCCAAGTCACGTAAAGAATTTGTCCTGAAAAACCTGTATTAAGATTTCAATGTTCGGGTCCAAGAAGAAAATATCAAGAAAATAAGTCAAGCCACAAAACAGGATGGGCAATCTCTATTAACAGTGTACATCAGCCTTTTAATTTATACAAACATGTCAACAAATTTTCATGGACTAAAAACTTAAAAATCTGAAACTCGATAACCAAACTCTTAAAAACGTGCTCTTAAAGTGTTAAAACATTTTTCTTCATGGGGAGAGGGGTTGAGGTGGAGGAGGGGGGGGGTCGAAGCATCATTCATCACTGAGTTTGCTGCGAGGAAGGAAGTTTGGATAAGACTGTGGGTTAAAAATGGAAAAGACATTACAGCAGAAGAGAAAGGGAAAAAAAAAACTCAGGAACGAAACCGTCGGAGCAGAGCGAGCGTATTGTTTCTTGACAGCTGGGACGTAGCACTCCACTAGTACGGGAAAAGCACCCCCTCCACGCTGATTTTAGGGTGTGAATACCAGTGTTGAAGCCTTGCCTTCCAACTGGGGCTACATTATCCTCATTCCCCAGGTTCTAATTACTAGGCCAATTCCATAGGCTTTCAGGCCTTGACTTCAACCATTAAATGCCATCGTCTTTCAGTCTCTCAGCT